AAAGAAGAAGGGGTGAAGAAGGGAGCTGTGTGCTTCCTGAGCTTGAGGTTGTATGCTAAGCAGAGCATGCTGAGAAACATTATCCTGCAGTCCTGCATTTGTCAGATGCTATTAAACAGTGGGGAAAGACAATGGAGGAGCTGGTGAATCTGTCAAATCCTTCTTGTTATTAATGCTGTATAATTCATCAAAGCATGACCTTGGAGTGGATTCTGCTGCTAGAGTTGGCCACTAACTGCCTCTGTTGCAGCTGCCCAGAGAATGATGGTCCTTGTTTCTGAAAACAGCCTCTGCCTTTGTGTTTGTCCTAGAGCCTTTCAATTAACACTCCTAAAAGGCTCAGTCTTGCGTTAGAGTCAAATGAAATGCTAAAGTCCTGTTCAGTGAGAAATGTTACCATTTCAGCATTGTGTTTTGGAACAGAAATGAATTAGGGAAAAATTGAAATGATCTGTGCAGCAAAAATCTCAGGAGGTCTCTATTAGGCAATATTAGGTTTTCATTTTTTTTACTAACGTTATTTATATAATGGACTTCATTGTTTTCTTTTATTCTTTTTTTCTTTTACTTTCCCACAGTTGAAATATTTTGATTTATTGTCAATTAAGAAAATTTGCTGATGTTCAGTACTAAATTATTTCATTATCTTCCCTCTAGCAATTATTTCTTGATAATGAAGTACTGCTTGATGGGAGCTGCAGTTGTGGAGCTTGACATATTCATTCTGATCCTCTCTCGATGCCTGATTTACGTCTCCTGTAGCACATCAGGCAGTTTGGTCAGAATTCAATCTGAAATCTTACTGTCTGATGTAGTGTTAAAGGAGTCTACTCTGTAAGGTATAAAAGGCTCAGACTTTGTTCCCATGAAGCAGTATGCTACAGCAGGGAAATGAAAGGCCATGATGCAGTGCTGAGATTCAAAATGCAAAGTTGCTGCTCAACTCAGAATATTATGTCAAATATTTATAGTTTGAGTACTTCCACTCAATTTCTTTGATATAAAATGAAAATGTAGACACAGAAGATTGAAAATATGTGCCTCTGTAAATGTACTTTCCCATGAAGAAATTGGGGTTGGGATCCAGTCTGTTTAAAGTCTCCCTTTGTTCTAGACTCCATCCTACTTCCCATATTACCAAGTTTGCCCAATCCTGTAGGTAAATCTTCATGAAGTATCCCCTGGTGAGTCTCAGGAGCCTGAAGGTCCCTATCTTCATTCACCAACTCAGGCTTAGAAGAGGTGGAACAGACTGGCACAGGCTGCCCAGAGAAGTTGCAGATGCCCTATCCCTGGAGGTGTTGAAGACCAGGCTGGATGGGGCCCTGATCTAATGCCTGCTATAGCGGATGACAACTCTGCATGCAGCAATGGGACAAGATGATCTTTGAGGTCTTTGCAACCCAAGACATTGGGTTCTTTGATTCTATGATTTTGCGTTTCAGGAAGGCAGGTGCTTATCTCCTTCCTAAGATCAGCTATAAGCTGAATTTAGCAATTCCAGACAAGTCCACTGGAGAAGCCAGGAAAACCAGGTGTCAGCCTAGGCTGTTGATGGTGACTTATGAAATAAAGAAGTGTTTGGAGCCCTTCCCTGAAAACGAAGAGACCTGCATGCAGAACAGCTTCAGTGAAAAAAAGAGGGACCAGCTGCCAGGCTGTGGCTTGATAATGAGGGACCATTCTGCTAGAGCTGAGTGTGCAGAAGTCCTGGGCCCAAAAAGCAAAAACAAGAGGGAAACTTCTCTAACCTAGGGTTATTCAGCTGTCATGTAGGGAACCTCCTCTTACAGCTTCCAGTGATGTGATGTATCTCATGTGTTTTAATGTGAAATGCAGGCATGTTCCATGGGGGAGGAGCTACAGCTCCAATTGTGTATATTCCCAGCTGGGCCAGACTACTGGAGTCACAGATTGAAAGGTACTCAGGCAGCTGTAGCATGGTGTGCCCTGCATTCCTGGCCAGCCTCAGCAAGAGCTGAGTTACCAGGATACCAGGCTCTGAATGCCTGGCATCTCACGGGGGGCAGCGCCTGTCCCCTAAACCTTAACTGTCACTTCTCCAGGCTGACAGTGCTACCTGGCAGAGAAGCAAAAAGTCTGGAAATGTGATATGTTCTTTTGTTTTTCGGTAGTGATTACCTCTAAGCAGTGTTGCTGCTTTGCTAAGTCAAAAAGAACTAATCCCCTTCTGTCATGGGGGAAAAAATGTCATGGCTGTGAGAACCACTGAGCTTATTTCCAAATAGATGCCTCAGCGTTTTGATATTTTCTGTGGGATTAACCAGCAATGCAGAAAGGCTAATGCGTATGCAGAGCTTTCATTTGCTTCTGTGACAATTTGCCAGGGGGCACACTGAACTTTGTCATGGGGAATGGTGCCATTTCCCCTCCTTCCCTGTGAGGTTAAGCAAAAAGCTTTGTTAGTAACATAGAAACACTTTGCAGCTTATCATCAGCTCTGGGTAGTTTTTCTTAGCTCCTTGCTTCTCATTTCTACTTTCCTTAAATTTCTGTTTCTTTTACCAAATCAGAAAGGGTGGCTTGCTGTTTTATAAGAAGAGAAGCTACATAATGAAAGGTGTGAAAGTGGCACCTGTACTGCAGTCAAAGCATCTTTGCTGACATAAAATAGACACTGAAGAGCCTCTCTGCTGATTTGCTACACTTTTTTCCTTTCAGCATTAGCTGCTTGTAGCTTAAAAGAAAATAAATAAATAAAAATACGGTTTTCTGTGCTATGTATGTAAACCTAACTTCTAATGATGGTTTTGAGCAGTGCTTTTGTGTCCTTCTGAGGCTGCCTCTGAGCATCTGGTGCTGATGGACACAGGCAGCAGTCGCTGCAGAATACTAACGCTGCTGCTGGCTCCTCCTATGGCTCCTCTGCTGAAAAATGCTTTAGACTATTCAGCATCCTTACACCATGCTGAGCAACAGGATGGCAGAGATGCCATGCTCAGGGATTTTTTTTTTCCAATTCAGAGCAAGAAGACTGCAACAGCGATGGCTCTTTGTTTTGCATTGCTGTGCCCAGGCTCCTTTTGAAGCTGCAGTCATTTATATGCATAAATATCAAGCCTGTCATTTGTTGCATGCTTTCATAGCATTTGTTTGACAAAGGAAATGAAGAGAGAAAAGAGCTGAACATCTTCTATTCCAGTCCTAGGAAATGAATGGCTGCATAGTTACGGTGATTATTTTCTTTCTGGTTTTATTAGGTCAGTGTCCTCCACAATTTGTTTTCCTTCCTGTCCTGCTGTCCCACGTAAAGGACCACAAGAGGACCTCCTCCTCCTTCCCCTTTGTCTTTCTCCCACACGGACATGGGATATCTTTCACAATACCTACCGGTAACAATTGTCACAGCAGAGCCTCTTGCCATGCACTGACACAGATTTATTTTGCCTCATTCTTACATTAACCATCTGACAAATTCACTCTGCATCACCGTTTAATGCAGAGAAACAAGAATCCTGCTGTAATTGTATTTTTGATCATTCCCTTGGGTTTTCTCTGTTCACCCTGGGCAAAATGCATGCTTGTTGTTTGCTCTGAATGCTGTGTATTTCTGCATCTTCTAGATTGACGCTATATTTACTGGTCATTTCTGGAAAGCTTTCTCTGTGTTTTAGAAGACAACTAAAATATGCTACTTGTGTAGTGCAGGTTTTCCATTAAACCAGTTGCTAAAGTATCACAGGAATGTTGTTCTGATGCCAGGGGGGAGGAGGGAGAGCTTAGTAGAATTGCCAATAGGAGAGGGGGCAGCCTGTGAGACAATCCCTCCATTAAACGTGGTCTGCACAATGAAAAGCTTGGGAAGCCTTTCTAAGCCCTCACGCACTTAGGCTTTGTGCCCAGGCTTGAGGTCTCAGACATGTAGGTAGTTTCTGAACACCACAGAGAGGGAACCGTTTCAGCAAATTTATCCAGATTACCTGGATGATTTATTGAACTGTCTTGGATCTTTGTTTGCATGCGTCTCTCTTGGCATGCGACTCCAGCAGAACAGAAGTGGTAATTCCACCCCTGCCCTCCATCCAGCCAATGCTGCTGAACTGTCAGAGAGGTCTTGGGGACAGCAGCACATGCAGCCCCTTTGAGCACTCTCACTGCTAAGCAGCGATTTCTTTTTTCTCTTGAGTAAGGGTAACTTTTTGTGCTTCCTGTTTTTACCACTCTTCCCTAATCTTATAAAAACCTCGAAGCAGTAGTATTGTAGTTATGATGGTCTAAAGATCTAAACGGTGCAGGATTTATAGGAAGGAGTAATATCTTTTCCTGAAGAAGGGCTTGTGTGCCTGAAGGCTTGTCTGTTTTGGTTTTTTTTTCCCAAATGTATCAGTTGGTCTAATAAAATATATTGCTTCTGCCTACGAATTTTGCCTTACTTATTAAAACCATTGCCTTCAGGACACAGAACACTTTTAACTTGGTGGAAAACTCCAGTGTCAAGGTGATAGAGTGAAGTTCAGCAATGTAATTTCCATGTCCCAAGCCAAGTGGTACAAATTAGAACAAGTTGGGGTGAACGCTATCCACCCCAGTTGTTCTGCACATCGTTAGGGGTCCTTTCATCCCCGTGCTACATCAATATTTTGTCTTTCCTACATCTTAGCTATAAGAGGCAGCTCTTTTCTAACACTGAATGGGGGTTGGACTCGATGATCTCTGGAGGTCCCTTCCAACCCCTACAATTCTGTGATTCTGTGATTCTGTGAAATGCACTTTGGATAATGTGTTTTGTATGCTTCCTCAGTAGAAAGAGCAACTGTTATGGTATGCTTAATGAAACTTCTCTGTCTCCTGGTTATTTTCTCAACTGAACATATCTGCACATTGGTTTATTGTAAGTGAGCTTGAGGGAGGTGAGAAAAAAGCCCAGTGGGACTGAGTAGACTGCTTTTCTGTGAAGGATCAGCTCAGTGTTGACAACAATCAAGGAAATTAGTACATTTGACACCTTCAAGGGCTCTTTTTTCTTTTTATACTCACAGGTGAACTTTCTGTGGAAGACATACAGGACCCATTCCTTGTCAGTGTACATATTATCACAGACCCCGGTGAATCCAAGACTCTTCAGCAAGCGATCGATAAGCTTCTGGCCTGGATCCATCCAGAACTCCAGCTGTTTCGAGTCTCAGAAAGACGTGTGTCCAAGAAGCAAAGGAAGCCAGATAAAGCTGGTGTTTCCCAGCCAGCCCTCGCTGTCATTCTGTTTCTGCAAGAGGAATATGGAGAAGAACCCATCTTGCAACTCCACGAAACCTTTCAGCGGCCACCTTGGCATTACCACCACACAGAGCGAGTGCATGGGAAGTTCCTCCCTTACATGCCATGCAGCCAGGACTTTTACACTTTGGCTCCAGAGACTCCTCTGTGGGCTATTCGTCCAGTGCATTATGGAAAGGAAATTATCCGCTTCACAATATACTGCAGAAATGAAAACTTTGTTGATATTTTGAAGTTTTATGAGTTAATACTGAAAAGACCAGTATGTCAGAAAAAAGCAGACTTTTGTGTTTTTCCTGTCTATTCTAACATGGAAATAGACATCCAGTTTTCTTTAAAAAAGCTTCCAAAGGGCCACACGCCAATGCCAACTGAGTCAGCGGTGTTGGAGTTCAGAGTGAAAGATGTTGGACAGCTTGTTCCTCTCCTGCCCAACCCTTGCAGCCCAATCAGTGAAGGCAGATGGCAGACTGAAGATCATGATGGAAATAGGATCCTTTTGCAGGTGAGCCCAGCACAGAGTGAAACAGAAGCACAGTGATTGACTTTGTGCAGAAAACCTTAGCCTACTTTAGCAACAAGAAGTGGAGGCTCTCCTACTGCTCTGTGCTAGATGAAAGAGCCAGGACACTACTGCTAAAGAGCTCAAAAGCCCTTGCTGTGTGTATAAATACTCAGGAAGGCAGTTGTTGATACTATCCAGATATCAGTCAACCTCAGTTTATGCAAAGAATGATGTGAGATGAGGTAGCCGTTTTAAAAAATGAGGAGAGAGGGAATTATGAGTCCAAGTAGAGAAATGATGGCTGATGGGTAAAGTTTTATAAAAAGTATACACACAGAACTGATAGTTCTATAAAATAGCTCTCAGCTGTGAGATTTTTGTGAGAGACAAGAATTCCTGATGTTTTAAATTATTTTCTAGCATCAATTTGAAAAAAAACAAGGTGACAGCACCTGTATTTTGCCCAGTGATTATCAGGATGGGGAGAAAGGAGGTAAAGGAAAAGAAATGCAACCTGGAAAGCAGCCTGGGATTCAGATTCACACAGATTCTCCTTTCAGAGTAATCTCAGGTGCTCATAATCAAGTCCTAGAAGATGATTTGTTCGTTAAGACATCTGTAGCCATGATTTCTAGGCAGCGTATCAGCATGCATCACATCTGAGGGAGTTAAGCAAGAAAACAGGAAGGAAGTTTTAAATAGCCACCTGCTCCACAAAGGGTTTGTGTGGCAATCCTGAGTGAGGTTCACCTGCACTCCTTGTCTGTAGAGGTGAAGGCATTTGTTGCTGCTTAGCATATGAAAGAAGGAGTATAGACCTTGGGAAGACAGTTGTTCAGTTTCTGAGGAAGAGTGTTTGTTTTGGAGTGCATTTCATTTGTGAACTCAGCTTCCTCACCCTTCTGCCAAAATAAAGAAGGTTACTCATCACTCTGTAGGCATATCTGTGTTTGGTTGAGATAGCCTGTTAACCTGAGCCACCACCACTATGCCTTTAGACAACAGCCACTTTCACTCCTTTTCCTTTTTTTTCTTTTTTTTTTTTTTTTTTTTTTGCCAAGTGTTTTCTAAGTGATATAACTGCTTTATGGGATCTTGCACTGATTTCAAGTAAATTCAGCAGAAGGCAAATAAATAAACAACAAAAAAATGGAAAACACACTAGAGGCCTTGTAAATAAGGCTTTTAATTTCAAAACAGTAAATTTTCAGAAATAATAGGCACCACACAATGTGGAGGCAAAGTGAGACTTACCAAACTGCAGACTAAGATAAGCCTTACAAAAAAAATTAAAACAAGATTTTAATTATAGGCATCAAAAGAGAAGAATGAAATCCTCCCAGTGCAAGATTTTCATTTCTGTTTTCAGTGAGGGTGATAATGTGAAGCTGAACTGCAAGTGGGAATTCAGTTAAAGAAATGGAAATCATCACATAGAACCGTAGAATCATCTGGGCTGGAAAAGGCTTTCTGGGAGTGGAATGAAGCAAAAGAAGTTCAATATGAGCAAAACAGGGGGAGAGCAGAGGCTGTAAAATCCTGTAGTAAAGGTTCCGTTATACAGGTTTAAGAATTTCATACTATCAGGAGAGAAATCAGGAAAATGTCCTGTTTGTACTCAGACATCTTGCAGCCTCCCCATGGAAAGGGGAATGTAGTCTCCAGTATGCACAGAGTTTGCATCCCATAAGGCGTATGGACAGTGCTTGTGCCTGCACAGCTCCTGCACAAGGTGCTGCAGGTCTCACATGTGCTTGGCCTCCAGAAGGGCAACTTCAAAGAGGTGCACATGCAGGGAACAGCTCCCAGTGTGTGCAGAGGAGGAATGCTAAGAAATAGAAACTGCTGGAGTAAGGTCATGGGAGTCAAGCCAAGGTCAATCTGTTGGGACCGTGCTCTGAAAATACGTCAGAAGGTGAACAGCAGGAATGGGAAAAGGTGGTTTCACCTAAAGTACTCTTCTGGCACAGGAGCAAAAACCTGTCAAAAAGCAGATTTAAGTCAGCCACTGTATTGATGGCCACCTTCATAACAGCCATCCAGCAAGTGCAAACAGGTTAACATCTTAATTCAAGGCAGGGTGGTCATTTAAGGAAAAGGAATTATATGATGGGGCATGGGTTATAGGAGGCATTTGATTTGGAGGTCTGTGGACTTCTTTATACTCTTTGAATTCTTTCTAACTTAAAAGCAAATTATAGTCTACCTTTTAAAGTAAGATATAGGACTACCTTTCAACTTCTTGCAGAGTGGTGTTATTAACAGTATTATCAATACCACACCATTAGTAATAACTTTCACCTCTTCATAATTCTGCAAGTCCAAAGAATGACTGCACCACATTTTTCAGCCTGGACGTAAGTTGGTGCTTAGTAATTAATGGAATGTTTTTATTTACTAGCTATTGGTATTTGTACTTTCCTACAGATTACAATAACTGTTATACTTAGAATTGTAGATATATGACCCTGTCAATAACAGGCAGTGATTAATGTTTGAAATTGGAGCATGATTCCATGATTAGATTAACAAGATGTTAATCTTGTTAATCTTGTTTTTCTTTGTGCACTCACAGGTACTCAGATACTTGCCAGCCAAAATAATTCATATTCTTCAAAACTGCATTTTGCAAATGGAATTATCAAAGGGCTTAAATAGAGTCAGTGCAGGAGAAAATAAGGTTATTTATGAGCAGGATAAGTCTCTTTAATATCATGGACTTTGTTCCTTCATTTGCTTGGAAGCCAGTTAAAATTGTTTTGTCACAGTAACTTTTGCATGTTGGCAAGTTAGCTCCAGTGGTGTACCTGTGTACCAACCAATGCTAAGCAAGAACTAAGAGCAACACTTATGGGTAGGAAGACACCCACTCTGCTTCACCACTGCTAAGCCCAGAAGCAGGAACTGTGGGAAAAATATGTAAATATTGTGGCTAAGATTATACCAGTTACTGGTACACAGAATATACTGCTAGTTTCATAGATCTTATCCAGATTCCTGGCTGCCTCTGGGCTTAACCCTCACAGGGGCATCTGAAGAGCTGGTGAATGTGCATGCCTGACAACGCAGTGTGGGAAGCAGGAGAGGTTAATAAGTGATGTGCTAGCTTAGTCTTGTGTGGCTGGCAAGCTAAGGCTAGTGAGCAGAAAGTGCACAGGTGATAGACTCTTCAAATTAGGAGAATGTCTTCAGATAAGGTAGAAAAATAAAGGAAAGAAGCCCAGTCTCACTACGAATAGAATAGGATAGAAGCCTATCTCACTATGGCAGTAGAGTTCTTAGTACTAATGATTAGTTTTGGTGGGGACATAGCTGAGTCAGTCTATAACTCAGATGGGAGGTGATTTCTCAGGTTTTTTTTATCTCTGTCTTCTTCATTGATGCAGATATATTTCATGGCATAGTAAGATCTCTGATAACTCTTTACATCCAGCAAAATCTCTTGACAAGGTATCTATCAAGTGTTACAAGACACTCATTCTAGTTTTGTAAGCATACAACATACTTTTCAAATATGATCAATTCAGATTTAAATTGCATTTGTGGATTTTGTCTTTTTATATTCTGTCCTGAATACATTTTACCTCACAAGTAAAACTTATTATGGTGATGATAAAGACTAACCTTTGCTATTTTTTCTCAAGCTGATTTTTTTAAGATATATTTTATTTCTGAATCAATCCCACTGGTTTAAATTCACTGATTAAACAAACACCATCATGCTCCTATTGAGTAATGCTCGGAAAGCCTGTGTTTGCAATAGTGACATAATTGCAGTACAGCCCATTCGACTGGTTCTGATCTTTTTTCTTTATAAGCAGGTAACTTAAAGTAGGCTACAGGAGCACTTGTGGAATGCTTGTCCAGTATGGGCAGCCCATGTTAAGCTGAAAGTATTTCTCCGTGAGGTTCACCCCAAGTTTGTTGCATTCCTGGATTATGTTTCATGAAATTCTTCTACAACCTATTGTAATGCATAAAGACTCTAAATCCCTCCCTGCTTCACAAAGATTTGCGCAGAGATTATGAATGAGTAGCAGATTAGCATTAGATGAGAAAGCCTATTCTGTCAGAGAGCTGATCAATTCATTCTACAGCCAGTTTTGATGTGTGTGTTTTTGACAGGGTCTGGCACATCTCTCTCCCTGGATTTGGAGTTCCTATCAAAACCTACTTTCTTGGTGTGGTGGAAGCTGTGCACACCTGTTTAGATCAGGTTTTATTGTCTTATGAGGCTGATCCTTCTTGCCAGCATCTCCACCAAGCTTGCTCCTGATGCCAGCAGTTGGGTCAGGCTGTGGCAAGACAGCAAGCAATGAAGAAATGAAATGGTGAGAAGGCTGAAGATAGGTAATTAAATAAAGGAAATAATTCAGAAAGAAATTCAGCCCATGGAACTAAAAGGTCAAGAGAAGAGCTGAGAAGCAGAGAGGAGGCTAAAGAGCAGCTGAATGGGCATGACGTAGAGTCATAGAATGGCTGGGGTTGAAAAGGACCTTAAAGATCACAAAATCATAGAATTCTTAGACTTGGAAGGTTCCTTTAAAGGCCATCTAGTCCCACTCCTCCGTGATGAGCAGGGACTTGCAAAGCTAGATTGGGTTGCCCATGGCTTGATCCAGCCTCACTTGAAAGTCTCCTGGGATGGGGCACCAACCACAACTCTGGGAAACCTGTTCCAGTGCCTCACCACTCCCACTGTAAAAGACTTTTTCCCTATATCTAGCCTAGATCAACCGTCTTTAAGCCTAAAAGCATTTCCCCTTGTTCTGTCACATCAGACCTGCTTAAGAGCCTGACCCCTTCTTTCCCATAGAATTATCTATTAAAGGGAAGACTTCCATAGTGCCCACACAGAATTTGTCCCTGTGAAAATGTCAGATCTGTCCCCAAAAGCCTTGTGTTTCCACGTCAGTTTTGTCTTAGTGTTGCCATTGTTTATCCTTTCACAAACAAGAAGACTGCATTTGCTTGCATCCCTGGTTTCTTTAGATGCCTAGTCTTCCCTGTTACCAACTGGTCTGCTGAAACACAAAGACATTGCATGGGAGCAAGCTGTGTCAGACAATCCAGTCTTCTCTCTGCAAAGTAGGAGAAGCATGAACTCCTGCTGATTCATCACGAGTTGTAACTGATTCCACTTGGCATATCTGATATCAGAGTTACTGCGTAGAAAAAAGGAGTATCCTTGATTAGTGCAACCAGCAATATAATAAAGAGTGCTATCTTGTATGAGCCCATCAAAAGAATGGGGTGATCTGCTTTATAATTTCAGAGTGCCATGTGATCATTTCTGGGTTACCCAGAAGTGTCTTCAATTAAGAAACTGCTGGTACTTTCTTCATGGACACGAGTCTTTTATCTTGTTGAGAAATTTCTTAAGCAAATTAACTCATCAACTGTGTAAATAAACTGACGTTGCATAAAGACATCTAAAGTGACTTCCAGTCATATCTTGTTGACAGTTTAACTCATTTTATTTGATTCTTTTGCACCCATGAATCCCTATCAGTTTATGAAACTGTGGTTAGTTTACTCATGAATATGTTTAATTCTTTATGGCGTTAAAGCAAACATCTTATTTTGTTAAACAGAAATAGGTTATGGATTAATATACTTCATTACAGATATACTGGAATATATATTTACATTCATCAACAATGCCTAATTGAATTCCTAAGGATTGGCTGTCCTGTAAATCACCTCCAGATAGGCAATCAGAAACAAGCAAAAAAATTTTATAGACATGAAAATTCTTTTTATCTTGTATTTTCCTCCTGTAAAATCACTGCAATGAGAAAGAGAAGATTGTTGTGACAGATCTAGGTCACTAAGATAATATGATGTGCACTAGCAAGATGTTTGAAGCAGCAGTGTATGGAGTTCTTTTAGAGAAAGGGGATAACAAAATGACCTCCTTGGCTGCCGGGCCTCATCCATTTCTGTCATGCCATATAATCTCTTTTGTAAAATTATCAAGCTCCATTTTTACCATTACTTGCTCCAGAAGACTCTTCTGATGCGATTAGAAACCCTTTAGTAGTTTGTCATACATGTTTCTTAATGGATAATTCATCTTATCTTTCTTTTTCTTTTTGCCTGCATCTTTTTCAGTTTGAATTTATTCTTATTCATATAGGGGTGATTTAAGGCACATGCAGCATTCTGGATGAGGCCTTACTAGTGTTGTATGCACTGCATTAATTATTCTTTACCTAACTTGAAACTGCTCAGAGTCATGTTTCTCACAGCCTTGTCACTTTGGTAGTGCATAGTGACCAAGATCTCTAATTCCTCCTCCTCTGTTATTTCTGACTGACAAGCCCCACAACTGAGACAATGTTTATTTAAAGGGTTTTTGCAGTTCGTCCCATTAATTCCTCTCTCTTTTGGGACTGAAATCAAGCATTTTGTATTACATGAAAAATTCCAGTAAAAAGAATCTCAAACAAACTTTTTAAAATGCAAACTTCTAAAAGCCTTGTTGAGATGAGTGGGATGATGACAAGAGTTTATAATTGCTGAGACACTAGGGGCTTAGTTTACTTATCAGTGTCTAATCCCATATGAGAGTCACCTGGCCTCCAGCTACTCCTTGAGGACATTGGCTCTCCACATGTAACAACTGTTCAAGAATCCTGCAGGTAGGCAACTGAATTTCTCTGGAGGGATGAGATTTGGAACCAGATTCAGATCGTAACCATCAGCTCTCTTTGTCGTAGGTGTCTACAAGCAAGTTAGATGTCTAAAGCTGTCCTTAAAATCCTTAGGAGCTATCTTACTGAGCAAGTGAATTCTGGAGTATTCCGCTCAGCGAACTGGATGAAAGAGATAATGTCCCTGTTGAAAGAAGTGGTATATTCCCATTGAGATGACAGAGAATTAAGTTACTTGCTAAAGGCTTTTTGATGTCTCGGAGGAAAAATAAAAACATTTGCACCACAGAAATAAAGAAATGAGGAATAATGGTAGTACCATACATCTCCCATTTCTTTATTTTTGTTCTTTAGCTGTCACTAGGGTATTAATGTTGGAAAGCAGAATATGAATGAATCTGAACAAGTCAATATTATGTGAGGATTTCAAGCTAGTGTAATTCAGCCTGCAAGGCAGGGATCCTCTTCCATTTATTCTTGTTTCCTTGAAGGCTCCTTATGTAAATATTTGGGATTTTGGCAGGGTGATTTCTCTTTGTTATTGAAGTGAAACATTTGCTGTGAGCATACTGAATGAAGTGTGCTTCGTAATTATTTGCAGTAACAACTCAGCATCGGAGACTTACAGTTGTAAGACTGCCAATTCTGTATTAATATGATCTTCTTTTCTCCTTCTCCTGCTGCAGCAAGCACGCAGTTGGTGTAGGAAGTCTGCAAAGCAGAACAAGCATCCATATCCATCTGTGTCAACAGATTCCCACTTCACCACTTTGCCAGGCTTTCATCCTCAGAGCCACCAATCTGTCCCTGAACCGCCAAAAGAAATGAGTCAGAACAAGGTGCATCATGCAAATGGCCTTGGCCATTATCTTGGTTTCTCCCAGCAGGACCTCAGACACAGTGATCAAGAAGACTTCACACGCAGATCCAGCAGTGCCTCCAGCATTTTGTGGTCATTTCAACGAAGCAAGTCTCTGTTCTGCTTGCCTACAGTGAGTTCCTCCTCAGCCTCAGAGAATGCTCATTTCAGAGAAGCGTTTCAGTTTTTAAATAGTGAGTCACCTGCAACCAGGTTAAAAACATGGAGATGCAGCCCTAGGCTTAACATTGATGACTTGGAGGATGCACAGGAGACTGATGTGGACACAGGGAGGAAGCTGTCTTTCTCAGATCTGTCTGTGGTCTCTGCATACTCTGCCCTTAACAGATTTTGCAATGACTTGGAAGCCTCTCTTCCGCCATGGAAGCAAGCCTGCAGAACGAGTGCAAAGGCTTCTACCAGTGGAAGGCCTGTATCCTCCGTGTGCAGTACCTTTGATCCCATGGATGGTTCGCTGCCATCTCTCTCTGAGTGGCCATCCAGCTCATTCATGGCAACGTCTCTCTCTAAGCAGCCCAAACAGTCTTCAAGAACAGCCCCTTGTTCCCTTGATGATTGTGGTAGCATTTTCCCAGTTTTACCAACTAATGACGAAGAATTTTACATCTGAGGTTTCTCTGTCTCACACCTTCTGGGACAAATTTCTTTTTGTGATGACTGGGCCCTACTTGAGCTTACAGGATTTTTCTCATGGAAGAGAAGGTGATGCAGAGAAGTATGCTAGATGTTTGAAGAAAGCTCCTGGATCCCTCAAGAGATGAATGTTCCCAAAGAATGTACCATAAAGCAGTCTGAGCTGGTGCCCAGTACCTCTGCATGGGGGGAGATGATCTGCACAAAGGCTTTTCCGTTCCAGTGCAGGGCAGAGGGTTCCTATGACTGACCCTTAGACTGTTGGTGAACAAAATTCCAGAAAAGATGCGTAATAATCCAATTCTCCTTGATACAAACTGAAGAGTAATTTGTGACACCAAACTGCTTTAAATTTTCGGAGAAATTCCCTTAACTCAGAAAGATGGGAGTACAAAGAGATCTTCTTTTCTGCTTGCAAGTTCCAAAGGTAGCTATAAGGATGCATGTCCCAGTAGCGTGTCTCCAATAGGCTCAGAGAAGCCTGTGAGGTTGCCCATCATTCTGTCTAATATCTGAGAGTTTACACTGCTGGGAAGAAAGAAGCTCCATTCCTTCCACAGGGAAGAGGAAGCTCCACTGGATATCTTTGCTTTGACTGTACAGAGAGTGCCAAACTGGAAATTTGATGTAACTTTTTCTACTCATCTGCACATGCAACCCGTTCTTTCCAGCTGGGACTGTAGTCTGAACTGCTTTATATAAGCCAGTGGTAATTCAAGTAAACAATATTTACTACCTCTAACTCAGACAATTCAGAGTTTACCTTTTTGGAATACAAAGCAAGGAAAATAACCCAGCATTTTTATACCTTGCACCATCAATCCAAAATATATAACAACTTCATTTTTTTAAGGGTTGTTATTTTTCTGTAAAAATAATTGATGCAAAGATGTATTCTTCTTATTTCCAGAGCAAGCATATTTGTTCTTCTCATACAAGTCTGTCCAAAGGGAAAACAAGTCAAAATTTACTGGCTTTTAAATTGTGTTTTTAAAATACATATTCTTGATAACCGGTTTTGCTACAATTAAATTGATATTCAAAGAAAGAATAAATTGTAAGTAAAAAGCCATTAATATGGCAGCTAAGTGCAACTTTAAGCTCAAGGAGGGAAGGTTTAGATTGAGTATCAGGGGGAAGTCTTTTACAGAGAGAGTGGTGAGGTGCTGGCACAGGCTGCCCAGAGAGGCTGTGGATGCCCCGTCCCTGGAGGTGTTCAAGGCCAGGTTGGATGGGGCCCTGGGCAGCCTGGTCTGGTATTAAATGGGGAGGTTGGTGGCCCTGCATGTGGCAGGGGGGGTTGGAACTTGTTGATCCTTGGGGTCCCTTCCAACCAAAGCCATTCTGTGATTCACTCTAAGTCGGATTTATAGATTGGATCATGCAGATTCTGAAAACTTAATTTTGTGCCAGAGAGAAGTGACACTGACTGCAGCTTTAGTCCAGCCAGTAAGAAAATGGCTGTGTTAAAAGGTGGATGTTAGATGCTGCATGAGATCTATACACAGGTTAGATGAAGTTATATGAAGGCTTACCTTGATGGCACTCAAATGAATAAAAATGCATTTGTGAAGAAAAATGTTAATATTGCTAGGGAGTCTCACTGTGAAGAATTGCTGCTTTAAAGAAACAAACAAACAAATATAAATTATCATGCACATGATCTAAATAATAGTTGTGAAATTTGGAACAGATCTCCTGGCCCATTGTAATTATTTCAGTAAATGTAGTTTGTGCAAACAGTTCTGGAAGAAGGTCTGAGGGAAACTGAATACGTGTTTATAGTGGAAGGAGGGGAATTCCATTAAACTTGTACCTCAAATCCAGATGAGGCCTGGATATCACTCCTTAAGACTTTTTCTTTTTGCTGTTACTTTCTCCACATAGAGAAAGGCGTCAGGCTTAAGTGCAATTCTCCTCTTTGTGAGATGCAGTTGTGGTGTGTACCAGAGGTAAGCTGGTCTTCTGTGCTAAATATGATGTATAAAGAGGAAATTCTGTTGAGGCTGTAAGAGCATAGGAGGTTATCAGCCTTCTCCTGTCCTCACAGCTGTTTAGGTTTGCTGCAATTTTTGGTACACCATTCTCCTAAGGAAGGTCTGGGACCAGAAGTAGCACCAATGAAGGATTTGTCATGATATACATGTGTTTCTCTGCTCTGCAGACAGAATTATGTGTTAAACACTATGAGGTTTTCCAGTAGCTTGGAAATCACTCTGCAAGCAGCAATGCCCAGGACAGACAGGCTCCATAGATTTGAAATTATGATTTTCTGTTATATCAGTGATAGCACAAAGAAAAATGATGGACTAGAGATCTATATTTGTTGGACTGACACTTTAGGAACACTGGCCACTTCTAGATAAGGCATAAAAATGATTCGAATCTGTTAAAATCTTGGTATTTCTTATTTGGAAGGGGGGGAAAAAGAAAAGATCATTTCAAAATATTTCAATAATACAAATAGCATTTGATCTGGACATGAAATCAAAGTGTTCGGAGAATTGATTTCAGCTGATGTGTTTATTAGATCCTGGAATCAGACCAACATCCAAGCTCTTGAGAAAAGCTGATTGGGTTACCTAATGAAGAGTGGGCTTTGAAATGTCTTTCAGCTTTGCAGGAAGATGTTCAGTGTATCTGGGGTCATCTCTTGACACCACAGGAAACACTGGTGCTGGAAGTCTACAAGCAGGAATAGGAGAGCTCAAATGACAGCTGTGATGTTTATGTGTGCTATTAACCTGGAGCTCCTCAATCATCCGACCTTCAGATTTTATCCCATTAATCTTAACAGGAAGAAGCCAAATGAACTTCCACAGACTGAATTTATGGTGTCTCCACTGATTCTGTCTCCAAGTATTTCTGTTCTGTTTACTGATACTTAACTAGAGATGAAAGCTTTCATTGTTTACATTCATGGTGCTTGAAATAACTGAGTGTTTTACTGTCAGGAAAAAAACAGCAAAGATGATGTACATAAAACATTTTGTTTGTAATGGAGAAAGCCTGAAGTTGAAGAGTGTTTCACTGAAGCTAATATTCGTTCTCTTTCCATTATTTAAGAAGGCACTGATCTCATCAGAAAGCTAAATATGCACAGGTTTTATGGTATTTACCTATGTATCATTTTGTTTAAGTTAAATTAAGAATAATGTCATTGATAACTGCAGGTTTTGCCTGGACTTTCTCTCCTTCTCACCTTAAAATGTGTTGTTTCTGTTAAATAAAATAGAGACAAAAAGTCATCTGTGCTTATCCTTCTGTATGCTCATTTATGAAGTATTGCAGACTCGCTGACTGTATTATCTAGGCTTCAACATGAACGCAGTGACACGGGCTCCCCAGTGCCTGTCAGTGGGATAACTGCAACAAAAGCATAGCAAAAATTTTTTTATGTTAGGCTCATCTTTGCCACTGCAGACCGGATCTTTTGTTTCATAGAATCATAGAATCATAGAATCACTAAGGTTGGAAAAGACCTAAAAGATCACCCAGTCCAACCGTTCACCTATTCCCAATAGCTCCCACTAAACCACGTCCCTCAACACAACATCCAGCCTTTCCTTGAACACCCCCAGGGTCGGTGACTCCACCACCTCCCTGGGCAGTCCATTTCAGTGCTTGACCACCCTTTCTGAAAAGTAATACTTCCTCATGTCCAGCCTGAATCTCCCCTGCCGTAGCTTGAAAATGTTTCTCATTGTATTATTATAAATCATTTGCTCCAGTAAGGATGAAAGGTGAAATAGGAACTGTGACAAACATTGCTATCTTGTGTGCTTAAACCCCATCTTGGTTTATTTCTACGTTGATCTTCATAAGTTTTCCTTTTTATTTCCATCTATGTGGTGATATCCAGTATATATTCTTTTATTCCTCTTGTGAGATTTGTCTGCATGCCGACGTTACATTGTACAAGCAAAGCTATGTAGGTTTGGCTTTGTTTAGTTTTCCTGGCTTTCTGGTTTGACCCTGTGGTATCGGCCTAACATATATGACAGTTACAGAGCCACAGAAACATCAGGAGTGGGCAGGGGCCTCTGGGCCTTGTCTAATCCAAAGCATCTTCTCAAAGCTGTCGTCATAGAGTCATAGAATATACTGAGTTGGAAGAAGGCTCAAACTTTTAGGTTCCAAGTCAGATCAGGTTGGTCAGAACCTCATCCAGTCATGTTTGAAAACCTCCAAAGATGGCAATTTTGCAGCATCTCTAGGCAACCTGTGCCAGTGTTTAATCGCGCTTGTTGTGAAGAATAATTTCCTAATCTGCACTCAGAATATCCCATGCTCTCTGTAGCTGTTCTCAATCACTTTCTTGTTCATCTTGTGCCTGGAAATGAACTCTGAGGAAGATTTCATTATCATCTTCCAAGAGATTGATGTTAGATTGATCAGCCTGTAGTTCCTCAAATTCTCGTTGCCCTTCTTAAAAGTTAGGACGTTTCCTGAGACTTCACCAATCACTAGTCTTTCAAAACTATCAAAAAAGAGTGGTGTCACAATGATCCTTCAGCACTATCAGTAGTAGCCCATCCAGCCTTAAGGGCTTGTAAATGGCCAGCTCATTGAATATGTGATGCAGTCATTCCCTAAAGTGAGTAGTACCTTTCTCCTTCAAGCTTTGCTACTAGCCATAGGTGCCTGGAAGACCTGACAGCAGATCTTGTGACTGAAGAGCTTGTGTGTGAGGACTGAGCATTATCCAGTTGACAGCTTTCTTTTCATTTACAGAAAACTGTAACTGCTCTAGTCCATTGTGAGCTAGTTTCCACTTGTTCAAAGGCTTTGTCCATCTTTTCTTCTTGGTTGAGTGAGTTGTAGGACATGCCCACAACAATATCTCTTGTTAGCTGCTCTTGACTTACGAGCTCTCAGCTGTCTCGTCCTCTGTTCCCTGGCAAATATGCATACATTTGTGTTGCTCAGCTGCCTATAGCACAGACTCCATCACTATCTGCCAGTTTTTCCTAAGGAACTTGTATCCAGCCAAGGCAGCTCCAGTTGTGCAACTGTCCCATCACGTATCTCATCATGTTTTTACTTCTGAAAGTGCTGAGATTTTTTTTAGAAGTTTTCTCCAGGTTCATCAGCCTGAGAATTTGATACTGGCTATCCCATCTGCCCAGCAGCATGGAGCTATCCTGGTCTTTGTCTGTATCTGCTGGTCCAATCCTGTCTCACCAAAGAGTTTGGGAGGCAGAGAAAAATTGTGGATGTCTAAACAATGGAAAAAGAAATCAGAATACTGAAAACGCCACATTGGTATCAGCAAAGAGATAAGATCTTGTGATTCTTTTCAGAAGCTTTTTAAGGTGCACAGCTTCATGCCTAGGTTGTAAGTACTGCAGTGGGCAAGCCTGTACAGCTGAGCTACCTTCATAAGAGCACACCAAAGGCTAACAAAAGTAATTAGGGTGGTTACATTCTGGAACAGGTTGCCAAGAGAAACTCCAGAGATACCTCATCCCTGGAGGTGTTGGAGGCCAGATTGGATAGGGCTTTGTGCTTCTAGAGGAAGGTGCCCCTGCCCAAAGCATGGGGATTGGAACTGGATAGTCTTCAAGGTCCCTTGCACCCCAGACAGTTCTATGTTATGTGACTCTGATTCCTTATGCCTGTCTCAGGAAACCCTGTGGTGAGACATCGATGGCACTTCTGTAAATGTTTTTCCTCCTTTGTGTTCAGTTGCTTTCTAATTTATTATTGGCAGCATCCTGTGAAAGGAAGTTCTATTGCCTAACTACATGTTTACAGAAAGGATCATCTCCTAAGCCTGCCCGCTCTTTAC